TTGTAATTGTCCACCTCCCATGTGTAGAAGGCACTCTACAAGACTGGGAATTTTGTTTTGCTTTCTATGATATCTACAGAATTTAGAACAAGGCCTCTCAAGAGAATACACTATGAATAAAATACTTGTCATTCAAAGTCTAATAGGGAAGAGAATCCTAAGCAGACAGATCTCATCAACAGGATAACGCGGTGGCATAAAGGACTTATAATAAGCTTGGCCTGTGAGAGTCAGAAACATTTCCTGGGGGGAGAGAGGCAGGGCGGGACTGTGAGGGGAGGGTAGATGCAGGGGGCATTCCAGGCAGGGCAGGCAGCATGTGGGAAAGCCACAGAACATAACAGAACATCTCACACAGGAACTCTGTGGAGCTGCAAGGAGGGGATGGTGACAGGGACAAAAGACAAGGCTGTAACAGGAAGGCAGAGCAGCATGCCAAAGCAAGGAGTCACTGACTGGTTCTGACCTGAAGAGCAGTATGAGATTCGCATTTCACAAAGGTCTCCGTGGAGACAGTAGAGCAGTGGTGGTAGGGGTGGGGTGTGGAGAATGAAGGCAAATCTGTAGAGAGGAAGAACATTTAGGAGATTACTGCAAAGGTCTCTGCAAGGGCCCTTGATGCTAAAAGCTAAGACGATGGCACTGGGGATGAATAGAAAGCAGGTGTCTTGAGTGCACATCATTGGATGCAACAATATCTCCCACTTTTCCAAAAAATGTGGCTCCATCCACTATCACATCTTATAGAAAGTACCTCTAAAAAAAAAAAAAAAAGTGAGAGTTTTTGAGGCCCATTTCTCACACAGGCATACATGCAACACACACAAACATATCTAGCAAAACCAGGTAGGACCGTGTCCAGAAATCACACCACGTAATGAGGTAGCTATTCTTTCTTTCTCCACTCATTGCTCTGCTGTCCCCTGAGTCAGCATCTTTGTCAGGTCGGCTCTTTGCCTACAGTGTCCCGCAGCAGCCACAGGCTTAAATAAGCCTACAAGGCGCCTGGCTGGCTCAGCTGGAAGAGTATGTGACTCTTGATCTCAGTGTTATAAGTTCAAGCCCTATGTGGAGTACAGAGATCACTAAAATAGATAAATAAACTTAAAAAGAAAAAGGTAGAAATCGCAAGGGAAAGGCCTCCAACAAGGCTCACTAACACCCACAGGCAGGAGATGCCCTGTTCGGGAGGGCAAGCCTGAGCTCCACGCTCTGTACCAGCAGAGACTAACATGCAGGGGGCTGCTGGTTGGGGTGGGGGGGCTGGTTCCTCAGGGACAACCCAGGCACCACCACCGGAAAACAGAACAGACGCGGGCGGATGCCGTGGCCTTCTCTTCTGATTCCTTGAGGGGGACATTTGCAGGCGCCCTTCCCTAATTCCTGAGTTCTTCCCCAAGTGATATTGCCCCGCCGGAGGACTGGCCGGCTCCTGGCAGCACTCAGTTCTGAGCACAGTCTTCCTCATGCTCCCGACAGGCCATGTGAGGAGCCTCCTTACTATCCCCTCCCACGGAGGTGGAGAGCCGTACACTACCTTGCCCAGGGGTTGTGATGCAGCCCAGGGAGGCCTACGAGCCCTGGGCCGGCTCACACCAACCCTCTAAAGCAGTCGTGCTGTGGGAGGTAAGACCAATCGGTGGAGAGCTTGGGAACGATGGTGCTTCCTCCTCCCCATTCCAAGCCCTCCAGCGTCTCTGGGTCACCTGGAGGATGAAGTCCACAGTCTTCCTTGTGACATCCATGACCCTGAGCCTTCCACACCTTCTTCCCACACCCCTGCTCCAGCCAATCCGCATCCCACTTTACTTCCTGGGCCTGGCAACAGCTGAATAATTAACGTTCCCAGAGCATAAAACGTTTTCCCCGGCCACAGTGCCTATTCCTGCTGCTCCCGTCTGCGAACGGCTTGCCACCCCTCCTCCCCATGTGGCAAGACACCGCTGCTTCTTCCTCCTCTGCCCATTGCACGGTGCTGGGCCTGAAATGTCCCCCCAGCTTGGCTTTTCCTCACACAGGCCTGGTTCAGTGCCCCACCGCACACTCTCTCATCCCCTTGTGCATCATCTTCCCATAGGACACATTATTTTATAATTATTTTATATCTATTTTCCTTCCATTGAACTATAAAACATAAAAGCTCCTTGAGGCTCCGACTGCAGTTTTCATCTCTCCCTAACACGCAGCACGGATATGTAGTACGCAGCAGCGCTATGCTCATTAAATGAATATTCTCAAGACCAGAATTGTACAGTATTGGCAACCTTTTCAACCTTCATAAGTTCTCCTGCCTTATATTAGCGATACCTTTTCTTTTGCATTTATAATATACATAGATGATTCAGGACCAGGGCAAGGAATAAAACACTCCTAGAATTTACTACAGGAAGAATTTTCTCTTATTTGAACAACTTGAGAGGATTCCTTTTTGTTGTTAGAACATGAAAATATGTGAAATCATCCCATTAATACCTTGGCTGCAGGAAACCCAGGCTAAAGCTGCCAGGTTTGCACTAACCAAGGTTACACGGTTCTAGACAGAATCGTCTCTTCATTCCCCCCATTGTAAGACAGTTATTATAAAGCACCTTAAGTTATTTTGGGAAGGAAATAGAGCCACATAGGACACACTAGATAATTAATGGCTCTCATTCGATGTTTCTGCTTCCTGAAGAAGGTAACAGAAACCAATGTCTTTGCCAAACATGTCTAGAGTCTGTTCCAGTGGGAACTAAATAATGATTCCCAGTCTCCGGCCTAGTCTCCTGTGCCTCTCCGGGTCTGATCCACTGGATCTCCGTTCCCAACATCATTTCATAAATAAATACAAATGATTTGACCGGCCTCTTGGGACCACCACACGTTACCTCCTCAGGTGGGAAAAAATGATCAACTCAAGTTATACAATGTTTTTAAAAATGAAACAAGATTGAAATGTCCAATGATGAGGATGAGGATGATGGCTAAGATTTAACTAGTGATTACTCAGTGGGAAGCATGATTCTAAATACTCCATGTGTATTTACTCATTTAAATACCTTGACAACCTATACAGTGGGTTACTTTTATCATCAGGCTACTGTTACGTACAGGTAAGAAAACTAAGGCACTGAGAAGTTAGGTCACTTTCCAAAAGGCCACACAGCTGCTAAGTGGTGGGGCTGGAATTTTAACCTATATATTTAGGTCCCAGGCCCATGTTCTTGACCACACAGCAAGGTGGCATATATAGAAATAAGACTGAAATGGCCAGAGCCAAAAGTAAGCGAGACCTTTAGAAGAAAAAAGAAACTACTGACTAAAAGTATGACCTTCGGTCTATTTCTTTTATTCCTAGACGCATTACCATAGATTATAATCAACACCTGAACAATAATATCCAACTGAGAGCATGATAAGAGGAGTGTGGGACATAAGGCAACACAGAGCTGGGCTCCCCCTCCCCCTCCAGCGCATCCTAGCTGGGGATGCCGGGCACGTTGTTTCACACAGAATGCACAACGTCTGCTGGTTGCAGGCTTTGCAGACTCTCCCCCAGTGACCATGACTATGCCAGTCCCCTTCTTTTAAGGGCTGTCCTCTCTCTCCACCTCCAGGATGCATGGTTGGTATGGACTCAGCTGGCTGGGATACTGGTCTCAGGGGCCTGGTTCACCTGAGACAACCACAGTATCTCACTGCCTGAGGAAGGGATGGGCACAAGATCCAAGCTGGGAGCTGCCCCTGGTACTTTCCTAACTGGAGGAGGAGAAGTTTTTCCTGTCCAGTTACAAAGCTGTGAGGACTTCAGCCTCAGTTCCAGGGTATTTGAGAAAATAGAGAGGCCATATAGAGGACTAGAGAGAGACTGTGGGCATCGCAGACCCTGGTTCTAGGGGCCCCCGCTCTATTCCAAGGTAACCAAACATCAGTCAATTAGCCACCCTGAGAGAAGAAAAAGAATTTCTCTAGTTTTCTATCACTTTCAACTAGACAGGCTCTCACCTGAACTCTGAAACTCAGTTCCCTCATCTGCAAAATGGGGAAAATAAAACAATAGCCCAACCCTCCCAGGGCAGTTGGGGAAATATCTGAAATACTTTGCCAGCATGTCTGAAGAACAGAAAAGGCTCCATGGCTATTAGCTCTTGTACCAAGAGCCTACTGCCAAAGACTGTGGAGTCATTCTCAGTTCCTCTCTGTCACATCCAATACATGACACTAAATTCTGTTGGTCCCTCATACTACATCTATCATCCAACCACTTCTCGAAATCTCCACTGCTACCACCCTGGTCCCAGTAAGGATGTGAACTACTACCCATAACCTCCTAACAACGCCCCCTCCCCCTGCTTCTGCCCTGACTCTGACAGCCTGTTCTCCACACAGCAGTCAGAGCAATCCCATTCAGGTGTCGGTCAGAGATGAACACGCTCCAGGGGCATCTCATCTCCCTGAGAGTAGATGGCAACTCCTGCCCATCTGGCTGCAGCCTCCCTCTAGGCTCTCCTCCTTCCCCACACTCTGCTCCACACTAGCCTTCTTGCTTGTGCTCCAACAGTCACCAGGTTCCCGCCCCAGGGCTTTTGTGCTGGTTTTCCCTAATCCAGGGCATTCCTTTCCTACATAGATTCAAGCCTTGACCCTTCTCCTCCATTAGGTCTCCTCTCGTGAAGCAGTCTTGAACACCCTGTTTAAAACTGCAGCCCCCTCCTCCCCAGCCAATCCAGGTCTTTTTCTCCATAGCACTTACCAACATCTGACCTAATTTATCTATTCCCCTACCTGTGTATTGTCTATCTCCTCTTTCTAGAATGTAGGCTTTATGACAAGGGGTTTTGACTGTTTTGTTTCCTAGTCTTCCCAGCACATAGCAGACACACAATAAATATTTGCTATATGAATGAATGAATGAATGAATGAATTTGTCCTCAATCCCCTTTTCTGGGGGATGGAGGGTGGGTAAACGTGGACTATAACAGGAAAAAAAATAGGAAATCTTAACTCGAAATTTCACTTACTTGGCACAGCGTACCCAATGTGTATGTCGGTACAAGGAATATAAGAAGCGCTGGCGATACATATTCCATACTTTGATGGATTTGTCTTCAGAGGCTGTAGCTAGAAACTGGCCGTCAGCTGAAAAGTCTACACTTCGAACTGGAGCTGTATGAGCTTTAAATTCAGAGGATTTCCCTCTCCTGGAAAGAAATAGTTTAATACTTATAACACTTGATTTAATTATAATCAATATCTAATCAGTATACAGACTTTGAAACATGTAAAAGTTTAACTCTTATAAAAAAATTAACAAAAGTATGAAAAGTTTCTTCATCAACACTCTTTAAAAAGCTGGTTTTATTAATTAAAGTCACAACTGAAACCTAACAAGAAAGACCCTTGGTCTGGGTGCATTACACCCAGAAATGCACTTGCTGTTTTTGTTTTAATTGGAAGCTAGAGAATAATATTTTGAACAAATCTCAACTGTGAATTTTAAGCTCCTGCTGTTCCTCTAGAAATAGCAATAAATACTCTAAAGGGCCTGCAACCTAGAAAAGCTAACATAGATTAAATTAATAGCTCCAAGAGAGTGCTTTCAAACTGGGGTCACGCGGAACCTGTGTGGACGGGCTGTCTGGGCTGAGAGGGAAGAGATGCCCCTCGTGGCATTTTCCCCTTGACAGAATGTAGGTCTAGGTGATCTGACCTTGGGGTTTCTGCTCCCAATGAGAACTAAGACCCCCCGGGGTGCATCGAAGGCCTTGCTCAGCCCAGGCCCAATCTTAACACTCACAAGCAAAACATATTCCAGTTCTCAACACTTTGAAATTTCAGATGCTGCTTTTTTTTTTTTCCTTGACTAGAGTGAAAGAGAATAGGAAAAGAAAAGATGGAAAAAATAATATGTGGCACTTAAGGAGAAATGTTAAAATAGGGGCAGGCTAGCAGATACACTGGAGTTGGAAGGTGGCATTTGGGACATACTACTTTGTGTCAGCATTCCAAAGTCCCCAAGACACTCTCTGAAGTGAGTGTCTTAGGGAGACACTTTCCTTCCCATCAGGAAGTCATCTTTATATGCAACTGTTTGAAAAACATCGGGAAACAGAGTTTGCAGAGCCTGGAAGGCCTTCTCAACTGCTCCGCTTCTCCCACAAACAGACTGAGTGATAGTGATACTGCTATCCCTTCCCAAATACCCTTTCGATAGCTCTTCTTTCTATGCCAGCTGTGCTTACGTTAAGGGAGACACAGCCTCCATATCGCTCACCAAGATTATTGCAAAAGCTTCTTACCTGGTCTCCCTGCTCTAATCTCTTACCCCCCTCCAGTCACCTACATACTCTGCTTATTATCTTGCTGAAAGTGTCATTCTCAGCACGTAAATCTCAGCATGGACGTGTCGCTGGCTGCCCTCCAAGGAGAAGTAGAATGCTCAGGCTCTCCGGCAAGGCATCCTGCCGGTACACTGAACCTTGGACTCAGAACAGTCGCAGAGCTTCAAATACACCTCTGGCTTTGCACTTACTGCTTTTTCTCAGCCTGGATTGCTTCCTCTGCCCCAACCCCCCTTGACCAATCCAGGCAGGCTTAATTGCTCCCTATCTGCTGCATCTACTTGCTTATTACATAATACAGTACTTAAAAAAAAAAAAGACCTATTCTCTTCTATCAAGCCATGAGTTTTTTGGAGGACAGGAATGATGATTTATTCATCCCTCTAAGACCAGAGTCTAGCACAATATCAGGCATATGAAAAGAGCTCAATACATTTTGTTGAATTCCACTGGGAAGAGTCACTACTCAAAGCTCTCAGATCCATCCTGGCTTATCCCTCCAGCGGTCTGTAGAAGGTAAAACTGACTTTGTCCTATGTTTCCATCACCTGATACATGATCACATACTAGGAAAAATGAAAATATTAAAGAAAATGGGAAGGAACATTCAGTGACGTTTTGCCAGAAAGTTCTATGAGTGGCAGTGAGGAGTATAGTTTGGCCTGAATTCAAGAATACAGTGTAGAGAAAATAAAGGAAAGAATGGCATCTGCTGTGACCGGGGAGCCAGGAGACAGTCCGAATCATCACAATCTGCCCTGCTCTTGAGTTCTACACTCCACTCTCCAGCAGGCTACCCTGCTTGCCTTCTTTCTAAAGGGCCCGCCTCTTGGTGACCCCTGGATCCGGTCTCAACAGGAAGCATGCAAGAAACCATAAAAGGAGTGCCCTGTGTTTGTTATGCTGCCATTTAACTGGTTTGTACTTCCCCCACCTTGTCTTGACATTTGCTCTCTGCCTCCCACACATTTACCTACCTGTCTGCCCAAGTTCTCTTGATGGCCCACTGTGAAGAACTCCAGGCCAGAACTGCCTCAATGCTTGTTCCTACTATTCTTCCTTAGCCTGCCAGTCACCTGGTGTGAGTGATGTTTGTGAATACGACCACCTATCACTTCTCTTACCCCCTGTTCATGCTTGCCCCTCCCACAGGAGGTGGAATCAATCAATCTCTCCTGTTCAATCTGGGCTGTGACTTACTTTGACCAATAGAATGAGGGAGAAGTGACACAGAAGTGTCAGACCCAGCCTTTCAAAGGTCTAGTGGCTTTCATTTTTACTATCCTAGAACACAGTTGCCATGCTCTAAGGAAGTCGTTATCCTGGTGCAGAGAGGGCATACAGAGGGCCAGGGTGCCCCAGCCAATAGCCAGCAGCAGGCCCCAGGCATATGAGTAAGGTGCTGGACCTCTAGCTCAATGAAGCTGCATGAGTAAGAGCCAACATTAAATGGGGTAAAAGAACCATCCAGACAACCCACACAATTATGGGAAAGGACAATTATTGTACTAAGTTTTGAGGATGGTTATGCAGCAATAACTGATCTATCAGTTTCCAAACCACTGCTATGATCCATGATTTCCCTGGCCCCACAATGATATGATTTGGAAAGTGGACCAAGAGATAGCTACACAAACCTAACTGTTACACTTAGATTAACGCATACAAATTAACAATTTGGTGTGCTTTTAGCACATCTACCCTTGTATAGTTTGTTCACTGAGAATTCCTTGAACTGGTAATGGGAGACTGAAGCTGTGTTATGCTGAAGACGGTAGTACCACTAATCCTAATTCCCCCAAATTAAAGATTTTAGAACAGCTTCCCTTCTGGACCCCAAACCAGTCTCCCTCTTTCCCATTTCCACTCTACGTTGCCACCCACAATGGCATTATAACATGTCACTTCTTTTCAGTCATTTTTGCTGCCATCAGGGTAATGTTCAGATTTCTCAGCATGGAGTTTCCCTTGGGTGGTGGCAGAAAAAAAAGAAGGGCCTCCTGGCACGGAAATTCCCTGTGAACTTTCATTTGGGAGTGCCTGAGACTGTTTAGTCATATACCACAAATGAAATACTGCCATAATAGAGCCAAGGAAAACGCTCAAATTCTTATTCTCTGAGGTATTTAGGAAGGGGAAATGATATGATCTGTGGGATTTGTTCTAAAAATACTCTAGCTTAAAAAAAAAAGAGATAGAAAGGGAAGAGAGCAGAGGATGGGTGAAACAACTAATAACTACTGATACCAATAGCTGCTGGATGTGGTGGAGGAGTAAAGGGGGGAGGGACTGCTGTGCTATTTGTTCTATCTTCATGTGTGTTTGAAAACATATAACTGAGAATTCCATTAAAAAAAAGAGTTCAAAAGCTTTTTAAAAAATCATGGGTTAATAATTGCTTAAAACAGATAAGCTATCACGTCTGGGATTTAAAAAGCCTCCTATAGAGAGGTTTGTTGTAACAGGATTGGACCTTACACAAATGCAATGATTTACACATTTGTCAGAAACTTTCTTTAGCAAGAAAACTCTGGAGCCCAATAATGAATGACATGCACCAAAGAATAGTTCTGGTACAGGATTAATAGAGATCCAAAGGCCCCCAACAGATCCACAAATGGGCAATAGTAGAATAAACTATAAAATTTCAGTTATATATGTCCGTGTGTATCTCTCTGGGGAGACAATCTGAAGTTTACCATAGATTTATAAAGAGATTGATAACCATCCCCCTGCCAAAAACAAAACAAAATTTTAACCCCCCCCAAAAAAATCAAGCATATTTCCATAGTTAGAAATAGGTTTCAAATAGAAGAGATAATTATGAGTTAAAGATAAAGAAAAAGTGGTATGAAATAGTTTGCTAGCTTTCGGAAAAGGGCAACACATCCTGCATGTGACTCAGACTAGGTATGGGAGTTCAGGCATTCCCGAGAAATGGAGGAGCAGCCAGGCTCGTTTTCTTTCACATTCGTACGTCCACAGCATAGCAGGTATTTCTTTGTTGCTCTTACTTATCAGGAATCCAGAGTCTAACAGTTCTGTCTCGTGAAGCTGATGCCAATAAGTTTCCAAGTGGAGAAAACTGCACGCTGGTTACAACATCCTTGTGACCCACGTATCTGAAAGCTCTGGCTTGTGGCTTGCAATTCCATAGCATGAGAAACGTATCCCAAGAAGCCGTAGCTATTAGGAAAGAGAAGAACAAACCACTGATTGTTGAAATGCAAATGTAGGCATGTCTCATTACAATGGGGCAGCATATCTAGTAACAAGATGTCCAGGTACCAGAGGACTGGACATTGTAGGGCTGACCAGGTAGTGGAAAAATATTTTTAAAGTAACCCAAAGCCACATCATTAATGTGTGAGCTTGGCTGCATCCTATGCTACCACAAGTCAGGATCACTGGCCCCTGCCATTGGGTTGGAGCTCAGTGACAATTTACTAGAAGGTGGCGGAACAGTGTAACACAGTCCACGGGACTAGGAGAAATTTGTCTCTAACTCTCAGGCTGCCTGGGAAAGTTACTTAACCTCGTTGTCACAAAGAGTGAATGCTTTTCCTGAGAGGGTCGGATGAGATGATTTTTGAAAACTGTTGATGTGGAGATAATTTCACACTTAAGAGGAAACATAAGAATAGTATAAAGAAGATTAATATACCCTTTGCCAGATCTGCCTGTTGTTAATATTTTGGTTTATAATTTACTCTTCTGTTCACTTTTGCTCACTCTTTCCATATGCTTGCAAGCTCGCACACACAACACACAACACACAACACACAGACACACACACACACACACACACAATTTTTCTTTCCTGAACCATTGGATGTAAATACACCATCATGGCACCTTTATTCCTAAATACTTCGTTGTGTTTTCCTAAGAATAAGGATATTCTCTCACATGCCTGTGGCAGTATCGACCTCAGGAAAGTTATTATTGACAATACTTTAATCTACCAACTGTTTTCCAATTCTACTAATTGACCCAGTAATGTCTTTTATAGCTCAATAAGGTGATCTTGATAGTCTCTTTCTGCTCTCTTATGACATTCTACAATTAATAAAAGAATTGTGTATGTCAGACATTAGCCTAAGGCTTTAAGGAAATAAAAACAAGTGCAATCAATGGTGGAAATAAATGCTTCAAAGAATGAACGAATGAACGAGTGAAAGATCTAACTCTTGCCCCCAAACCAAATTTTATTTTAATTTTTTTTTCCAAACCAAATTTTATATGTGCATGGAGCCCAAATTATCTCAATAACAGGAATCAACAGGTCAATGAGATTCACTACCTAGGTTGTAGAATTCCTAGAAAAAATTGCAACTTTATAAACTTGAAATACAACTAGTATTGCTGTTAGAAGAGAATATAAAGTCACTGAAAACCTTCTAATTTCTTTAGCCATAGATAAAATTCACCTGGACTTAGCCTATGCACGTTCTATGCAAGTTCTATATAAAATAGTTAAAGTGAGTTTTGAAGTTTCAAGCTATAATGCTGTCTACTACTCCTTTTTAAAAACATACAAAAAGTTGATGTTCTACCACAATTCATAATATTATTAAATATTTATATTAAAGTCTAAATTTTCAGGAGCTAATGTAGACAAAATGGGGAAAACCATGAATTATCATACGCATTACAACTTAGGACCCTATTTGAGTTCTAAAGTATTATGCTGCAAATAAGATCTACACAAAGAATTAAGACACAATCCCTTACCTCAAGGAATCACAACAGCATAGGGGAGACAGTTCATTAATAAATCATACATGTTCAGACGACTTTTATAAATTATCCTATTTTCTGTACGTCCCACTCCTCTTCATCTGTTGTGCCCCTCCCCACTGGCAAGCACAATTTGTTCTTTGTATTTATCGGTCTGTTTCTTCATTTTTTGTTTGTTCATTTTGTTTTTTAGATTCCCTATATAAATGAAATCATATGGTATTTGTCTTTACCTGACTTATTTTACTTAGCATAATACCTTTGAGGTCCATCCATGTTGTCACAAATGGCAAGACTTCATTCTTTCATATGGCTGAGTAATATTCCAGTGTGCATGTGCGTGTGTGTATCACATCTTTACTCATCTATCAATGGACACTTGGGTTGCTTCCATTTCTTGGCTATTGTAGATAATGCTGCAGTAAACGTAGGGGTATGTGTATCATTTTAAATTAGTGTTTTTATTTTCTTTGGGTAAATACCTAGTAATGGAATTACTGGATCAGATACTTCTAATTTTTTTTGAGAAAGCTCCATATGGTTTTTCATAGTAGCTGCACAATTTATGATCCCATCAACAGTGCATGAGGGCTCCTCTTTCTTCACATCCTTGCCAATACTTATGTCTTGTCTTTTTTTATTCTAGCCATTCTGACTAGGTTTAAGGTGGTATCTTGTTGTGGTTTTGATTTCTGCTTTCATAATTAGTGATGTTGAGCATCTTTCCATATGTCTGTTGGCCATCTGTATGTTTTCTTTGGAAAAAAGTGTCTATTCAGCTCCTCTTTTAATCAGATTATTTGTTTTTTGGGTGTTGAGTTGCATAAATTCTTTATATATTTTGGATATTAATCCCTTGTCAGATTTATCATTTGCAGATATCGTCTCCCATTCACTAAGTTGCCTTTTTGTTTTGTTGGTGGTTTCCTTCATTGTGCAAGAGCTTTTTATTTTGGTGTAGTCCCAATAGTTTATTTTTGCTTTTGTTTCCCTTGGTTAAGGAGACGTATCGAGAGAAACATTACTAAAGCTGATGTCCGACATTACCGTCGATGTTTTCTTTTAGGAATTTCATGGTTTTAGGTCTTACATTTAGGTCTTTAACTCATTTTTTTTTTTTACTGAACTTGAATTTTTATTCCAAATGACTGTAATGGCTGGAAAGACAACAGAGAAAACTGAAAATGATTTGTTGAACTGGCAATTAGAAATGGTTGATTTCAGGAGAGCAAACAGTACAATGACAGCCTGGCACTCAGATAACAGTTCTAACTAAGAAAGCTTGAAAATAACCAATGTCCTTTTATTTTATTTTTTAAAATTTATTTATGATAGTTACACACACAGAGAGAGAGAGAGAGAGAGAGGCAGAGACATAGGCAGAGGGAGAAGCAGGCTCCATGCACTGGGAGCCCGATGTGGGATTCGATCCTGGGTCTCCAGGATCGCGCCCTGGGCCAAAGGCAGGCGCCAAACTGCTGCGCCACCCAGGGATCCCCCAATGTCCTTTTAATACACAATCTGGAGGTGCAGCATTTACAGTAAATAACATAAAAAGAAAGGAGGAAAGAAAAAAAGGGACAAATCCACAAAATCCCAAGCCTCAGAAATTAACATTCATTTAAGAACACACAGTGGTGAAGGTTTTGGGTAGCACAATTTTCACAGTTCTTAAAATGGAAGTCTTCAAAATTACTTCTTCAAAATTCAAAAGCTAAAAACAATGAAGAGAGAACAGTTACACTGGCGTAAAAGAGCTGCTACCTGTCACAAAGATGATAATTAGTCCTGCTTCCAAATACAGTGAGAGCTGATGAACCTGACAACAAAACAGAGAGGCTGCCTGGCATGCACTGACATCATCGTGAAACAGTTCATTGATAAGATCACACACGTTCAGAGGACTTTCATATATTCTTCCTTCATAGTGTTATGTGGTTAGTGATCCTGAGAAAAAGGCTTTTAAAAAATACATTATTTATTTTAGAGAGGTTGTATGCGCATGCGAGTGGGGCAAGGCAGGGAAAGAGGGAGTAAGAAACTGAAGCAGACTCCACACTGAGCACAGAGCCTCATGTTGGGCTTGGTTTCATGACCCTGAGATCATGACCTGAGCTGAAACCAAAAGCCCAACGCTTAACCCGCTGAGCTACCCAGGTGCCCCTTCCATTTGAGCATGGACTTGAGTGTGTTGAGGGGTGATTTGGGCTGACACATAGAAGAAGAACACTCTCGGGGCAGAAGGAACCCCACAAATGACTGTCCAAGATAACAATGTATTTGAAAGACTGAGGAGCAGCAAGGAGACCAGCATGTCCACAGAGTGAGAACAGTGGGGTAAAAGCTGAGAAGAAAGGAGGTGCCAGGCAGAGCCATGGTAAGAAATGTGTATTTCATGCTAAGTGCAATGGGAAACCTTTAAAGGATTTTGAGCAAGGAGGGGATCTCATGATCTGAGTTAAAATTACCATTCTGACAGTAAGAAAAGGATGGTCTTTACAAAATACGATGTTAGGTCAATTGGATATTCATAAGGGGAAAGAATATATCTTGACTTTTTCGGTTTATACTATATACAAAAATAATTCCATATATGTTATAGATCTAAAAATACAATAGGTAGAGTGACATGCTTTTAGACTAGAACACAGGAGAATACCTGCATGACCACTGGCGTAGGTAATGAACATGACATAAAAATGATTAAATTACTAAAGGAAAAGTAATAATTTGTACTACACTAAAATTAAAAAACTGTGTTCATTGAAAGATACTACCAACTGAGTGAAAAGGCAAGCCAGAGTGAAAGAAGATATTTACAATACATGTATCCTACATTTAACAGATTCTGTAAAGAATCCCACAAAAAATTTTTTTAAAAAGGCAGGAAAATAGGTAAAAGGCTTCAATGGGCACTTCATAAAGGAAGACATCCAAATGGTCAATAAATGTATGAAAAGGTGGTCAATTCAATTGGTCACCAGGAAAATACAAATTAAAACCAGAAGGAAAGAGTTAGCACTAGTGAGATGACAATGAGATAGAATAGAATGACTACAGTGAAAAAGAGAAATGATACCAAACCTTGATGAAGACGTGAACCACGGGAACCCTCATATAATGCTGGTGGTTATAACCATTTTGGAAAATTATTTTGATGTATCTGCTGAAGCTGAATATACACTTACTGTTTGAGCAATTCCACTCAGTGGAACAGAAATTCTTATGTATGTTTAGCAAAAGACCTATAATAATGTTTGTGGCAATATGATCCAAAATAGGCCAAAACTAGAAACCCAATTATCCATCAAAGATGGATACATAAACTGTCTTATATTCATAGTATGTACCTCCTGTGCAATGAAGTTTCATTTAGATGAAGTCCAAGAAGTAGAAAAACTAATCAATGGAGTTAGAAATCAGTATGCAGATTACTGGGGGACAGG